AGTGTTACCAAGAAAGATGTTTCTATCAAGAACCTAAAGCATTGATTAAAATTACTGATTGTATAGTCTTCCCTCCCTACCCACCCCAAGTGAAGCTTAATCTATTATTACTTCACCTCTTCCAACAGTTAGCTCTAATTTAGATTGACGTAACCACTTTTCCTTATTGACCTTCAGGCAATTATTAGAATATACTCCTCAAATATCAGCTCTCTTCACATGTCAGTTTATTTCTGAGAATCTTTTTGGGAACATGGTCAGGCTTCTTTGTATTGGGGGGGGGTTCTTTTTGTAATTTTTTTATAATCAACATATGTTTTATAGTTTGGTTCTATCTGTAGGGCCTTCTGTGTATCTCAGTTTTAAAAAAAGTAGATTAGTCTGGCACAAATACTCTCCATAGCGTACTATTTATTACCATGAGATTTTTCGAGAATTTAATGATAGGGTCCAACTTCTGCCCAAATTGACCCATCTAAAATTGTAATTGTTAAACTCATAGCCAGAATGAGTCTACTAATTTCTTTAGCTGTGAGAGGTGAATAGCCTCTTGCTGTTTCACTAATGGTCATAGTATTAATATATTATGAGATAGGGGAATTTATTAGCCCACCAGAATTAATCACCTTTGTCGGAGGTAGGGAAAGTATATGGCTTCATTTCTAAAACTGATTCCTCACATAATTGTTAAGGGCTGTGGTTCCTTTTATCATAAAACTGTTACCCTTTATTATATATGGATAGCTTAGTATTGTATCAATGATTTTTTCAAACTTTTTAAATTAAATATCTGACTACATGCTATCTTTTTTTCCTATGTATTTCTTCTGCACTAGCTGATAGGGAATTTTCTGTTCCATGTTTTCAGGCCCTTTGTTCTTTTGGCTTTATTTTCTTCCCCATTCCACACACAGTTAATTGTTTTTCTTTTCCCCTTTGATCATGGGCACTTTAACTCCCTTCATGTACTTATTAAGCCTATTTTACATTTTAGTATCCCGGGATCCTTGGAAATATAAGTATTAAAATATATATTTAAAAAAAATTATTTCTGGGCTCTTACCCACCTGACAATTAACCAGAAGAGTCCGTTATACCTTTAGCCAGCTATATTTAGCCGGATAAAACCCATTACATCCTTGGGGAAGAATGTGCTTAGTTTAGCCTTATGAGAAAATATTTAATAAATGCTGTCCTGAAAATATTTAGCCTGGCTGAGTGGGCTGGCAAGGGCTCAGTCCTGATAAAGCAGAGGTGATGGTGAGAAGCTAGCCTGCCAGTCCAAGCTCAAGTTGAACACCTCTTGTCACTAAGGGTTTTCATTGTGGCCATGAGCTTTTCCATTGGTGTCCTGCAAAGATTTTTCAACCCCCTGCTCAGGGCTTTTGTCACCTCCCAAATGGTGTCCTACATCCTGACTGCCTGAGGAGGCAACCTGGATTCATAGAGTTACACTTGGCTTTAAAATCGTAGCCTTATCACTTACTGCTGACGTGACTTTAGGCAACTGGCTTGACTTTTCTTAATCTAAGTTTCCTTATCTGTAATATGGGGACAATTGTAATTCCTCACAAGATTGTTCAGATCCAACGGGGTAAAGCACTGAGCATAGTGTGGGACACTGTATGTTCACTATGTGGGAACTGTCCACTAGTCGTAGTAGCAGGAATCCGAGATGTTCTAACAGTTTCTGTTTTTCTCTACCCCCTCCCCACACCACACACCAAATTTACAGAGCTGAGTTCTTTTTGGTATGGTGAGAAAGGCTCTGGCATGAGTGTTTGCTTGGACTTGGTGTGACTCACGCGACCCCTCCCTGCACAACAGTACAGAGATGCACAGAGCGGCAGCCCTCCACTGCTCTTCTCTCTCTTTTGATACCTAGTTAAGTATTCATATGATATCAGACCTAATTCAATTTGATAGCTAAACCCTCCAGTCAGCATCCTCTGCCTGACACAAGTTTAAATGTTTGTCAGCTGGGGTCTGGTGTAAGACCAGCCCAGGTAGCCCCCAGCATCTAGGTAACAGGTTTTTAGAAGGTTGTTCATTGAGATCCTTCTCCTATAGTAATTTGAGTTTTCTTTCTGTGGCTGGTGGGCTCATCTTCAGTCCTTGCTACTCAGAATGCGGCCCAAGGACCAGCAGCCTGGGCATCACCTGGGAGCTTGTTGGACATGTGGAATCCCAGACCCCAATCCTAACTTCCTGAACCACATTTATTAATGTGGACATGAAAGTTGGGTAACATTGCCTTAAGTCACTGCTGTTGGAGATGTTCTGACACACACAGGGTGTTTACTAAATACCTATGGAATTTGTGATTGACTCTGATTTTTTTCTAGACAAGGTTTCTTTCTTGTTTTGGGGGTGTAGTGCACTGATGTAAGTCAGGTTACCATAACAAAACATCATAGACTGGGTGGCTTAAACAACAGAAATTTATTTCTCACAGTTCTGGAGGCTAGAAGGCTGAGATCAGGGTGCCGACATGGTCAGGTTCTGTGAGGGCTCTCTTCCTGGCTTGCGGGCGGCTGCCTTCTCGCTGTGTCCTCACCGGGAAGCGTGGGGAGCAAGCTCTTCATAGAAAGGCCCTACCCCACCCCCATGACCTCATCTAAACCCAATTCCCTCCCAAAGGCTCCTTCTCCAAATACTATCACATGAAGGGTTAGGGCATCAACATATGAATTTGGGGAGAGGGGACTCAATTTAGTCCATAGCAACTGATATCTGGACCTTACTTTGAAATGCATCTTAAAAAAAAAAAACAAAACCTGATGCATAGATGAGTAAATGTAACAAAGAAAATATGATAAAATGTTAATTGTATTATAGAATCTAGGTGAAATATATATGGGCATTCACTGAACAATTCTTTCAACTTTTTAGTATGTTTAAAAATGTCAGAGGAAAAAACCCTACTCTCTGTAGTTATTTGAATGGAATCTGGTGTTGCTTTTCTCCTCTGATTTCCATCCAGGCTTTCTTAAAACTGCCTGCCTGTGTAGCTGGACAAATATGCCTCTTTGGCAGTCCCTCTCCTCTCTCTCCCCACTCACTCTCTCCGTGGTCAGCCAGCGTCCTGCCTCTGCACCGCCAGTGAGTTTCCAGCCTGGATCTGGTGCTGCTTTCTGGTCTCTGGTTTCACCAGTAATATCTTTCTCTCCAGTTCCTCTCCAGATCCCAGCCCTCTCCTGATCCCTGGATCCTTCAATTGCTTGTGACATTAGGGCTTCTCAAGTTACCTTTTACAATCCTGCTTTAATGTTTTTAAACATTTCTAACATTTTATAAGTTTGACTCTGAAATTCCTTATCAGATCTAAGTGGGAGAGAGGCGAGCGTCTCCACAAGTTCACTGTCAGCCAGAGGTAGCGTGGTTCATCTGGAGTGCCCCTACCTACTGCCCCTCCTGCTAAGAACAGGGGCTCCCTCTGCTTTTCTGCTTACAGCGTCAATGGTCTGCATTTATTATATAGTTTATAATGAGGGAGAATGTATTAATTTCCTTATTTGGGGGGAAGTGCAAAAACTGATATTATCAAGATAGCTTAACTTGAACATAATCAGAAAGTATTCCCTTGTGGGATCGAGCATGAAATATCAATGTGTCACATGACACCCTTAGCACAGTTACCTTTTAAATTAGGGAGCCTTGGCAAGAGACTTTGGAAAACTTATAGGTTTCTTCCCTTTCCTGGGACTTTTGTATACTCTCACAGAGGGAAGACAGGCCCAACCTGAACTCAGGCATTACTTAAGAGATATGTGACATTGGCCAGATGACTTGAGTTCTCTAAGTCTCAGCTTCCTTGCCTTTAAATTGGGATTAATAGCGACCATCCGTCTTTGAACTGTTATGAAAAATAAATGTATGCCTTTTACATGGAAGTAATTTAAATGTAAGTATTTTACACACATGTAAAATACTAAATGGGGTGATGTGGCTTCTAGTCGGTGTTCAGTAATAGTCATTCCTTCACTCATTCATCCAACAAATAGCCAAGGGCCCACTGCATGTAGGCTTTCTTTTTTTGGAGGGGAAGGGGCCTCTTCATCACACTTTATATGAAGTCTTTCTAAGCCAACAGACCAAAAGACCAACTTTCCTTATAAATCACTGGCCTCTAAAATCCCATGGACTCAACTATAAATTTTTTTAGTGGGTAGATGCGGAGGTCCCTTCTTCCCCATTTACCTCCTACCTAGCATTTTAATTTGCTGTACACTGTGAATTGTAATCTTTGAATCAGACGCCAATTTAGATGATAAGAATCACAGTTAATTAGGCTAGCCTGTCAAAGATTAAGTGTAATCTTGCATTTCAGTTATCTCTTAACTCCACGGCTTTAGCTAAGGCTGTCAGAAACAAAGCTGTAATGTCTGCTTATGTTTAATAAGATCTTTGCCTGCTGTTTGTTTCCTATACCAGTCTGTTGTGTAGGAATAAAACTAATGGGAAGAGGATCTCATATCCCTTTCATTTGTTTTTAAGCTGTAGAGCAGAAGAGATAAGTGGGAGAAGATAAACGTACAGGTATTAAAGACTAATTAGGGTATCTGAAAAGATTTGCAAACTTCCAGTTTAAATCTGTTGGCAACTCTTCATTCTCTCCTATTAGTTACCTCAGAAAATACTGTAGAGTTATAGCTGAAGATTTATTTCCATATCTACTTTCTATTCTCATTTTCAATTGCCCTCCTCCTCCTCATCCCAAAAAAGTCCTCCTTCCTGCCAAACTCAATATAATTTAGCACACAATCATTCCAACTTTATTTTCCTTTTACAATCAGAAAATTGAAGTCTAATAACTCTAATGGATTAGTATTGTAGCTCTTATTGGGGAAAAGTGGCATAAAATGAAAATAATATGATGGTTATGACTTCTAAAAAGATACTGGGTATTATTTATACATAGAAAAGCAAAATGCAAGTGTCTACCAAATGTGCTTACAGCTTGCTGCCTTTAGGAAGTATTGAAGACTCTTTCTTAATGATGATAGTTTCTGGTCTTAAAACTTGTCATTGTAATTGGATATTTCAAAAATCTATTAACAATAACAAAGATTACATGAATAATTCTAACAGCTACCCATTACTTTGTGCTTTCTACGTACTGGCCACTATGCCTACCATGTTTATTTATAGTATTTACTTAATCCTTATTTCCTCACATAATTGTTCCCATTTTCCAGATGGAAAAACTGGAGTTCAAATTAATTCATTTGCCCAAGATGACACTCAGTAAGTGCAAAAGCCAGGATTAAAACCCAGGCTTCTTTGGTTTTAAACCTGTACTTTTAATCACGTTTATACTACTGATTAAACAGGTATGCCCCCAAATTAAGGAACTTATAAGTGGTTTTGTGCTTTTTGTTTTGTTTTGTTTTTAGCTTCATTATCTTACCCAAAGAGCACAGGCCCACATTTGTTGTGGCATTGTCCATAGAGCTTAAGAAGTTTAAAGTTCAGGATATCAATCATATGCATAAAGTATGAGTGTGCTTTAGAAGTTTACTTAAGAACAAAATTGGAATTAGATTTGTCCACCAAAATGCACATTTTTAATTTGAATTGTGAGAGAGATAGGAATACAGTTTTGATTCAGCTGCAGTTAGTAGACAGATTAACATCTTGATATAATATTGATCCCCATTTTGCATATACACTCTCTTTTCTGTGTATTTGTATTACATTTTTAGAGGTAATTGCAGTTTTTCACACACTTCCAAGCTGCTTCCATCAGTAATGAAATAGTTGGCTTGGGCAGTCTCTGGAGTCCCAGTGTTTCAGCTTAAACTTTCCACTGGGCTCTGCCAGGCACTAACTTTTAAAATATCTTTTTTTATGGAGAACGCCTCCAAAAGGTGCAGCTGTGTGCTGGTTTCATCTTGCACTTCATAGCAGTGTTGGCACCACTTAATGCAAAGAATGCCACTGTCTCCCACACACCGCTGGTGCCCAAGGACTGTTGAGGCCTGTTCGTGTTAGTGGTTTGGGAAGGGTTTAAGTTTGGAGAGAAGGCTCTCTTCTGTTCCATGTGATTGGTTGTCACCAGGGCAAAGGGGGAAAAATAGAACTAGTGGAAAGTGCAGCATCGGGGTGTGTCATCAGAAATTCTTTCTACAACCTGGGACGCCTAATTCATCGGTGTTCTTGTCAACACCGAAGACTGATTCCTCCTTTCATTTGAGATAATGTGTGTCTTGGATTCACCACTTTTAGACCTTTCTGCTATTCTCTCTTCCCTTTCTAAGCAGTGCTGATTTCTTTTGATGAAAAATGATTCAGCTAAGTGAAAAACTGGGGTCGGATTGTAGTAGAGGAATCTACAAGCTTATCCAGACTCTTAAGAGTGGACTTGGTTCTCCAGCCTTGTACACTGTGCTACAGGAGACCTCAAAACCAAAACTCGTTGCTTGTTCAGGTATAAAAATTGAAAGATGAAACTTAATGAGAATTTATATGTAAACTCTAGGAGGATCATGTGCTCTGTTAATTTGTGTTTTGCTTGGTAGCTCTGCCCTATATGGTCTATACTCTTAGAATCTTTTTCTTTTTAAGTTCTAAAATGTTTTATGTTTTGGTTTTTCAAACTGTATGATATGGTACTTTATCATGGACTTTTCAAAGAACAACTTGCCAAATTTGGTAATTCCTAGCAATTGTCATTTCCTGTTGGAATGTCTTAAAATGAAATCATATGGAAAAAATAATTATTAACCTTGTGTATTTAATAGAATTAAAGGAATAGTAGATTTTAGGATCGTCATTAAAATTAATGTTTTATTTTGGAATACTTGTTAGACTTTCAGTGGTAATTGATACTGTAGCCCAAAGTAGAAGATACACACTTCAAAGCTTCTTAGGTAGTAGGAATTTCACATTCCCTATGTCTAAATATTTTAAAGGGGAAATGGATTGAATCATAGACATTTTGCACTAACGAACAGGAAATCCTTGAATTGTTTTTTTGAAAAAAAAAAATCATCTCTCCTTGTAAAATTTACCTTTTAAAACTTCAACTGCGTAATCTTGATCAGCTGTGATGAGTCATACCTTTGCACGATAAGAGCTTTTATCAATATTAAAAATCCAGTGGGAAATTCACTTAATATATTACAAAAGGAGTACTTATACTTCCTACTATATGCATAGTTTTTTCCTTTTTTAAGTAATCTGGTGTGCATTTTGAGAAAAGTTCCAGTGTTCTCCCAGACTGGTAGCTACCACAATGCCTTTTAGAAACTTCATCTCTAACACCTGAATGAGTAAAACAAATGATACATTGTAGCCCAGGATACCATAGGTAAACTAAAATTTTTTGCCAAGGAAACATTGAAGACAAAGAAAAATAAGAAAGTTTTGCTTTTTTAATTTTTTTCAAACTCAGTGAAGAAAGAGAGGGATGAAAGTGTATGTAGCATTTGCCAACCCAGCAATGTAACAACTGTTGGGTGCATATTTCAATCACAATTAGATGAAATCTCTTATTATTTAATTTAACTTTCATATTTGATTGTGTTGATAAGATTCTGGGATGAGATAAACCTTTATTAAGTAACTCCATTTTCAGTGCCAGTGTTAAAGTGCTTTTTTTTTTTTTTTTTTAGCCTGTGTAATTTATGAAGGAAGGGAAAGGAATTGGCATGTTAGTTGCATGAGAGTTGTGTGGATATGTATGTACATTTACTATTCAATCTTTAGCTTTTTGAGTTTTGGGGTATGCCAAGGGCTTGTTAGTTTGAGAGGGCAAAGGAGAGACATTATAGTAAATCCTAATTAATAACATTTCTCTACAGAGTCTACACTATTTCTCTACCTTTGTATTTCCCTTCTAATACATATGCTGATAGGATAATATTTCATTTTGTTCAGTGTAGAAGGTATTTGTGGGAGAGAATACTTTTGTGAGTTGTCAATCTACTTAAGGCAAAGGAAAGTGATATAATTTATCAGAGGAAATGAAATGGTGTGCTCTTTCATTTTACAGTGTTTTGTATTTTACAATGCTTTTAATTTAAAAGACTATGAAACTTTCAAGGCAATTGTATTTTAAGTGTTTTTTCAGATACATTCACATTTTAATGTTTAGAGATTTAGAAGATGTCATTATTGGATTTTTTTTGCCAAGGGATCACCCACATGAATTTTCTTATTAAAATAGTATGTCCTAAAACTTATTACTAACCCCAAACAGATTACTAGCCCATTCCTGGATATTGTGATTCTGGGGATTTAGCGTGGTAACTGGAAATCAGTATTCCCAGCCAGTTCTCCAGGTGATGCTTGGGCTCTAGCAGGTGTGAGACACACAGGAGAGATGAAGTTCCCACCCAGCCCTCTGCACAGTGACTGTCTGGAAACTTCACAGCATGTCGGTTCTGCCTTTAGGTCCAAGATGTTGCAGTAAGCCAAAGTCACCGGAGAAACTGAGTGATAAACTTCGCAGGGCCTTGAGTTCAAATATTGATTAGCTCTATGTCAAGAAGCCCTGTGCTCAGAGAGAGCTTTATAGTGGAGTCTCTGTAACACAAAGCTGACTCAGGAATCTTTCATCTGCCATTGACAGAATTTGCCCTTGCTCAGGCAAATAGAATTGCACCTTTAATACCCTGGGAACTGGCCACATACAGCTATCCAGTACAGATCAATTAAAATAAGTTCAGTGGCTATTTCAATTTACATCAATTAAATTCAGTTCCTAAGTTGCAATGGCTACATTTTAAGTACTTAGTAGCTAGGTAGTTGTTTCATTGGAGAGCACACATAGAACATTTCCATCATCACAGAAAGTTCTGTTGAACAGTGCTGCTATAGGATTTTCCTTCAAAATGTAGCTGTTATCTCTTTATCCTGGTAGTTGCGATGGCTGTTAGAGCTAGGTGGAAGATCACATGTTCATCTATATACTGCATATTGCAACTGGAAAGGGTCTTAGACCAAAGGGTTAGGGTTTGCAAAATGACTTAAATCATACTTAGTTCTCTGAGTCAAAATTGAATAACATTACTTTTGTATCATGAATTTGTTCTATGTTGACTTTTAGTACTTGAAATATGGGCTTAATTAGAAATTTGTTTGACATAGTATAGAGCTTTAGTATATAAAGAACTATATCACTGGGATCTCACTGAAACAAAATTGCAAATATTTCATCTTTCTTAAGTTATATAAACTTTCTAGATAAGAGTGCAAGTGATGAATCATAAGTGTCCAAAAAGTTATTTATAGATGGTGAATAAACAGGTTGCACATACAGATATTTTTTATAAAGACTGCCATTTGCCTATATTTTGCAGTTTGAGAAATTTGAGGGGAATATATTTAGCTCCCTCTTCTGGAATATTTTGAGAAAAATATTTTTACTTAACAGTGTTTTTTTTTTTTCTTTCTTTTTTTTTCCTGGAGTGAGAATATGATTATCAGTGTAATGTCCAAGAAAGTTATTTGTGACTACCATCCAATTTTTTTTTATCATTACAATTGGTAAAACGTGTAAATAAAACTTGGAAAATCAGTTTATAAATGTACCACATTTCTTAAACTACTGACTAAAATATGTGTAAGCAAATAAAGGCTTTGACAGCAATTACACAGCGACTGAATTTGATGCCAAGTGGGCAGTGATCACTCGTATCAGCTTCCAGATCTGCTCCTCGGCCCACCCCTGGCATCTGAGGGACTTGAGGCAAGAGTACAAAAGGAGACTCTGGTACCCTGCGTCTAAATATTTTAGTTACAAATCATGTTAACAAACTGTTAACAAAATCTCTTCTATCCTCCTACCTGAGCAGTTGTTCCTTCCTAATGACCACAATTGAATTCAGACTTCTTGGGCTCCTGAGAGCTCTGCCTCAGAGCATGTGGATGAGGGGGAGCTAGACCTGGCCTCGTCCCCAGCTTCTCCCTGCCACCCGAGTCCCTTCCACCCAGCCACAGTGCACTCCTGGGCCCAGGGGTGTACCTGGGCAGGGAGATCTGCCCTGGGGAGAACAGACCTGTAGGAAAGGTCATGAGAGGCCATTTGGCAGGAAGTTCTGGGATTCTGGGTAGGTGCTCCAAGCATGTCCTAGGAGAGAAGAAGCAGGCGTGTCCCCTTGGCCTAAGAGGGCTGAGCCCCCAGGGTCATGGTCCCTCTTACTGGGGCCTGAGTTTATGACAAGATCTAATTAAATTATTTTATATTTAAACGTTCTTCATTGTGGTCTAATGCATTTGACTGCCCCACATTAAATATAATGGTGGGATTTTTGTTTGTTTGCAGCCTTGACTCTCCCGGATCTTGCAGAGCAGTTTGCGCCTCCTGACATTGCCCCCCCTCTTCTTATCAAGCTTGTGGAAGCCATCGAAAAGAAAGGTAACCAGACTGTCAGAGGGAATCGTTCACTTGTTATACCTTTATTTCATGGCTGTTATAATTTATATTTGTCTCTTGGGCATTCGTTAAGTAAATTTCTTCCTACCTGCTATGCACAGGTACTGTGCTAGACACATAAGCTATTTGGGGCTGTGTTGTGGGGAAACCATCTTGGTCTGTGATTTCTAATTCTAGGTTAATATGGAGTCATTGTGTGGACACTATTAAATTCTCCGTAATTTAATAAACATGATTAACTACTTAGTGGCCAGATGGTTTTGCCAAAACTATTGGCATGCCATGTAAGATGAATAGTGGGAGTCACTTCCAAGAATATTTGGTACACATCTGGAACCGGATACTGGATGGAAGCAGGAATGTCTCTCTGGCAACAGGCTCGCAGGTTCTCCAGAGAGCTGTGTTTTGCATACATGGTCTGTTTTGTGTCCTAGGTCTGGAATGTTCAACTCTATACAGAACACAGAGCTCCAGCAGCCCCGCAGAATTAAGACAGCTTCTTGATTGTGGTGAGTGTCACAGAGCTAGAAATGCAAACGGGACAGACAGGTCTTACCTTTCTGTTTCAGGTAATGCACACACACAAACAATTGAATTCAATCCATGCAACATTCTAAGTGTAAAGGGAAACTTTACACTTAGAAATCCCACACAGTTCTCTCTGCCTTATTATGGAAACAGTGCAAACCTTTGTTGTCTGCTGCATTGCGGCGTGAGTGTGTGCACGCCCGCCTGCAGGCGTGTTGGCCGTCGTTGCACCCATGAGGCCCTGGGTCCTACAGGAATTGCAGAGGAGAGAAACCACCTCAACCCTGCAGTTGGCTACATCTAATTCAACTGGATCAGTTAAAAAAATATATTTATAAGCCTATGTCATTTAGTAAATGTCTGTTCTGACATCTTTTTATTATGTTTTCCTTCTATTCTCCCTTTCCCTTTCTTTTTCCTTTTCTTTTCCCTATTTTTTCCTTTTGTCTTACCCTTTCCTTTCTTTCTGGCTTGCTTGTTTTTCGTATCATACATGTATATGTTAAGTAACATCATGATTTTGTTACATTCAGTGGTGTGCTGATCAGCTAATTCTCTAGGAAGAAAAAATCCTGGTTTGTAGCATTGGCCCATTTCATGAAGTGAATATTCCCACCATAGTTGATTCCAGGCTAACCGGTGTGATGTGACTGGCCATAGAGTTAGGAAGAATTGAGGACAGTTGGCTCTGGTGAGAGCAATCTCCAGCACACCATTGGTTGAATGACAATTAGTTCAGCCAAGTGGTGGCTTTGCTATTTATTTCCTCCCCACTTTGGCATACAGAAAAAAACTGTACATATCAGTTTACTTGCCATCATTCCAGACAGCCATCTTCTCATATCAACGTCTAGAATCTCTCAGATCCTTCATACTCTCACGATACTTTCATTTTTTTAGAAAAATAATTTTCTGCCTCACAGATTTGAACATTTGAACCCAAAATTTGGGCATTTGAACCAAAAAGAGTGAAAACCAGTTTCGAAAGAAGCTTCTTCAGAAGTATAATTGCATGAAAAATGCTCACATGATATTTTGTAAATGAGAATGTGAAGTGTGAGCCAGCTTCAAAATGAGGCAGCTTATGAAAATTTCTAGAAAAGATGTTTCTTGGAGAAAAGGAGACTGTACCTTTATCAGTAAATACTTTCACTTGAAGTATACGGATCAAGTGTTTTGAAACTTAAAAAAAAAATTGTTCGACTTTATTTTTCCTTTGTACTTGGAAACCAGTCACACACATGCAGGGTGTAGCCTCTTGCCTGCTCCATAGTCTGTACTTCCCACAGAGTCAGTCATTAGAAATCCACTCACAGAAAACTCAGGGTGAAAAGGTTTGTTTTTCTGTATTTCTAACAGCTTCAGGGTGATAAGGAAAACACTGAGTTTTTTTCTTAGCCAATTGAAATAGAGATACATGTTTTGGTCAGAAAATTGGTCAAATTGAACATGTTAAAAGTCACAGGAAATGTTCAGACATCAGAGACTGATGAAATGGAAATTCTTTGAGAAATAGTGGTTAGGTTTTTAACGTGACCAATACAAAATGATGCAGTTTAGCTAAAAAAAATTCACACCTCTCTCGTACTTGTGAGGTGGAGTAAACAACCAAGATTCATATCAGACAATATATTTGGACAGGCAGCTTTCGTTCCCCGTGGAGAGAAAAACTCATACATAGAAAACTGATTTCATTTGGATTCTCTGCTTAAAAAGTGAATTTGTGCTCCCTTCTTCCACAAAAAAAAAGCATTGTCCAAACTTGGGAATGGATCTTCTAAGACTGTTTCCAGCTCAAGGATTTTTCAATACATAAAAATATCATAACTTTCCAGAAGAAGCTCTGAATTAAGTCACTTTGCACCTGGAAAAAAAAAAAAAACCATGGCTTTTAACCAACCTTGTGAATTACCAATGTCTGAAAAGGATACACACGGGACAATAATCTACTTTTATTAGTACCTACTAAGTTATTCTATTTCATCCACACATTAGCCTTGCAATAGGAATTTTAGTTACTTTTACTCACCAGAAAAGGAAGCTGACCCTAGGTAAGTAATTTCTCTCATATTTTTCAGCGGCTCAGTGGCAAAGCTGTGAATTGTTTCCAAATAGTTCTGATTCCAAAAGCCCTTTTTTTTTTTCTTTTGTTATTTTGCCCTAAAATGAATCATTCCTTTCTTGTCTCTCATGAGTCTGAATGATATGAATTTTCTCCTGACATTCTTTGGTTTCTCTTAACCTGAATCAGGCTTTCTCAGCCTGACACTATTGACATTTTTTTTAGGCTGGATAATTCTTTGTTGGAAGGGTGGGGGCCTGTCCTGTGCACTCTGGGATGTTTAGGCAAATCCACAGTCTCTACCCACTAGGTGCTGGTAGCATCTTCCCCCAGTTATGATGATCCGGAATGTCTTCAGACAATGCCAGATGTCTTGGAGGTGGGATTCCACCCCAAACCCCCACTGAGAACCACTAACCTAGGTAGAGATCAGGTGAGGAAGGGACACCATTCCCATGGAAGGCAGGAGTGAAGTGTTGGAGAGTTTACTGGTTACCTGTCATGAGTAGACTCAGTGAAAAGTGAGGTTGAAGAGGATGTAAACTCCCCCAACCCAGACTTATAGATTATGTAGCTCTTCAAAAGTCTACCCCTGACAGGTGCATATAGCTATTGGAAGGGTATGTTAGGCTGATTTTATTGCAGAAAAAGAATCAGCAGAAGTCAGAAACTCCGAGGAATGTTAGAAGTTATATATATTACCAAAGGAAATAAAACATACTATGCCATCAACTCTAGTGGAATTTGACACCAAGGTAAGCAAGCATATCCAAAGGACCTGCATAAGCTAATTTTATTTAGACATTATAAATGTTCTTTGGAATGCATTTCATGTGTTAGAGAAGGTCTTTGGTGAATTAACCTCACTTTAAGGGTTTTCTAGTCTAGGCCACAACATTTAACACATTCTATGTGCCAGACACTGAGAGATACAGTGAGGGCAGGGGAGAGCCACAGTCCCTGCCTTGAGGTACTCCCAGTCTAGCATGGGGAGACACAGAGTCCCATGTAAGTACCAAACTCTTTGGGGAGTGTCTTAGTAGAAGGAGGTGCATCAGCACTGCAAGGAGCCTGACCTGAGAAAGGGACATGTGGATATTGAGCATCTTAACATTTTTACTGTATCACCAAATGGCTTGTCACATTTTTCAGGCTGAGCAAATTAAGTAGTAATAATTTGCTGGGCAAAGAGACATTAAGTGAAGCATATGGGGGGCCGGAAGCTTGCCAGATAGTGGGGGACTGTAGAGTGTTCTTATAGTGAAACACATTTTAGTTGACAGTGTTTAATTACACTTATAATCCCATTACCTTCAATGTAGATCCTGTATGCAAAGACCTAGTGTTGCCTTTTCTACACTTGTTAGAGATCCCTGGTTATTTGTAGGACACTTCCGAGATTTAACACATTGCCTCTTCACCTTTTAAGTTTACTAATTCTTTTCCTCAAACTGACCTAGTCCTATTTTACTCCAAACTGGCTTTTCATAGAGCTGTGTGTGTTGTATGATTAGCTGTCATAACACCTGCCTACTTAGTGAGGCAAGTTTGGTTTATGATAATGATATATTCAAATAATTTTTTACTCTTAGGCTCAACCTCAAGTGATTTATGGTATCATACTTAGTTCAAGGGTGTCTAGAATAACCCCTTCTCCTACTCACACTCACATTTAGGAGAAACGTGGACACATCTTCATTCTCTCCTAGGCCATGGCCCAATCTAGTCAAGGACAAAGCTATGTGAGGTCTTGATAATGTCTTGCACACTCTTAACTACATTGGAATTCAGACCCCAGCACTTTTTGATGACCAAAACTGGTATTTTTCCTTCCAGCAGTACTGCTGCTTTCCAATTTATTCTTAACCCTACAATTCATAAAGCTGGACAAATATGTAGCATCTTGCCCGTTAGCCCACCTTTTCTTCACTGAGAACCCGAGTCCCCAGGTAACTGTCCTGGAGTTACCCTTCCTTTTGCTAGTGCACGTCCTTCATCAGCAGCCAGACACCTCCCTCCTTTTCTAGATGCCTGTTCCCCGCATCCCTGCTTTCTGCTGGCCATTGTGCCTTTTTCTATCCCAAGTACTCGGAGCGCTGTGCATAGTGGGTGCTCAGAGTGGTTTTAATTAGTGTCACCGCTTTGTTGAATTGCTTCACTTCTTTTCCAGCTAAGCGATTTACTGGACAGATAGGCTCGTCTTATCTTTTCTCTCAGATGCTCTGATGCCTGCATGTTAGATTAGTATTCATAAATCAGAATTAGGGAGAGACATTTCTGAAAATGTTCAAATTATTTTCATCAATATTCTTGAGATTGGTTGCTAAAATTCTGTAATATCTTACTGTTTAGTCTCTCTATTGGTTAAATTTACATTCTGAGATAGAGGATTTGTCAACTCAAGTTTTAAGAAATCTAGGAATTTGCATGTCATTTTTTTGTTGAGGTTTTTGGAAACATTGACTAAGTGACCAACTATACCTAGGTAGAACCCTTCTCAATCACTCCAGAGGGTGTTTGGAAATGTTTGGGGTTCTATGTTAATTTGCTCAGGATGCCATAACAAACTACCACAGAAGACTGGGTGGCTTACACAACATATTTATTTCTCACAGTTCTGGAGGTTGGCAGTCCAAGATCAAGGTGTAGATGTGTTTGGGTTTTTTGAGGCCTTTCTCCACGGCTTGGAGATGACCGTCTTCTCACTGTGTCCTCACACGGCCTTTCCTCCGTGTGCAGTGCATCCTGGTGTCTCTCTGTGTCCTCATTTCCTCCTCTTAGAAGGATATCAGTTAGACTGGATTAGCGTCCACTCTAATGGCTTCATTTTAACTTAATCACCTCTTTAAGGACACTGTTACTAAATACAGTCAAGTCACTTTCTGCAGTTTGGGCTTCACAATTCAGCTCATAACAGGGGCGTTATTTTCTGTTGCCCAGTTTGGTAGTATGCTACCAGCATCATAGTCTGAGGACCAGGCATGCTACATGCTTGCAGCTTGTCAGGCAGACCTTCACAAAGAAAAACTCTTCTCCCCAAAATGCCAGGACCACCCTCTATGAGAAACACTGCTGATAAATACTTTATGTTTGTCCCCAAATTGCTGCTTTTCCTTTGTTGCACTAAAGTCAAACATTCAGAAAATTGACCAAACCGATGTATAAATGTCTGAATATTTCTTAAAATGTTTCTTTCCTAGATACGGCCTCTGTGGACTTGGAAATGATCGATGTGCATGTTTTAGCAGACGCTTTCAAACGCTACCTGCTGGACTTACCAAATCCTGTCATTCCCGTAGCCGTTTACAGTGAAATGATTTCTTTAGCCCCAGGTTTGTTTTCTGTTTTGAGAACCTCATTGAACATATATTGAGATGCAGATGTGCTTATAAACTCTATTAAGTGCTGCATATATAGATGTAGTAGTTAGAAAATAGTAGCAGTAATCTACATCTCCTCCTCACTAGCACCAAAACTTCCTCCTTTACCAGAGCATCCAATAGAAGAGCCAGATTCTCCTTTGCTTAAGACTGTCCCCATGTTGGAATGGCTAATTACTAACCTATCAGTTTTAACAAAGTTCACTGCATTGGTGAAGGTCGCGGTGTTTCAAATACTAGTGCCATCCAGGGGACCAGGACCAGGACCCAAATGACTGGAGATGTTCTTGTCATCTTCCCTGAGTGGCCATCACAGAACGTTTTGAGGGAAGGAGGGCTGCCAGTGTTAGGAGCTATGGCTCAGTTACGTGCTTTGGAGACAGGAAATTGTGGTTCGTAACCTTCAAAGTTAAAACCTGTGATACTTATCTGATGCTCCCCTGAGTTAGCCAATCACACTTGAAGCTGCTCAATAGAGGGCAGGTTTCTGCCAGCACACTCTGAAGAGCTTGTGGTTTTCTTACACGAAGAGTTTCTTGCATTTCCATTTGACTTGAGATTTCTACTTTCTCATAATGCATTTTCTAACGAGAAGAACAAATGTTCTGTGTGCTGCTCCTGACAACTTTTTAAATGACTCCTTCTGTGGCTAGAAGAAAGTGAATAAACACCTAGAAAATTTCTGTTCTAATACCTAGAAACAGTCTCTTAGTCTCTTCTCTTTTCTTTTTTTTTTTTTAAACTTGTAGAAGTACAAAGCTCCGAAGAATATATCCAGCTGTTGAAGAAGTTCATTAGGTCGCCTAACATACCTCATCAGTATTGGCTTACGCTTCAGTATTTGTTAAAACATTTCTTCAAGCTCTCTCAAACCTCCAGCAAAAATCTCTTGAATGCAAGAGTGCTCTCTGAAATTTTCAGCCCTATGATTTTCAGATTCCCAGCAACCAGGTAAGTGAAAGAAGGGAAACATGTATTTTGGGGTGATGAAGGTAGTCTTAAATTCACTGGTCATTAAATGCATCCTAAAGATACTGCTTCGAAGATGCATGTACCAATTTCTATCACATACATCCACTTAAATGTGTATAAATGAAAATGGTTTTACTTTTAGGGAAAAGGTTTCTAATAAAACTCTCTTTCTTGCAGCTCTGATAATACTGAACACCTCATAAAAGTTATAGAAATTTTAATCTCAACTGAATGGAACGAACGACAGCCTGCACCAGGTAATGCTTTTTGAACATTGAAGGTTCTCTTGTTGTTCATTTCTGCAAGCCTTAAAATTGGCGGCTGTAGACCTCCTCTGAAGTAGCATAAGTTTCTTGTAGAATCACAATCCATAGACATATGTTACCTTGTGATTTAAAGAAAAAATAGCTGAGTGGTAGTGTATACAGTAAATATTATCTGGATTTCAACATTTGCAGATTTTAAATTGTCTTGGTTTTAGGTAAGAGTTGGGAGAGCTTCCTGTACTCTTCAATGTTTATGCTTCTACTTGTTGAATAAATTTATGGAGTTCATTTTAGTTGTTGACATTTTTGTTTTTCTAATACTTATGAAGTAGGGGATTTATAATTACTATATAATTTAAAGTATTTTGGAATGTGTTTTTTGGAAGCGGGTATGCTGAGAAATGTCTGTCAAAATAAACATTTTCAATAATGCAAGCAGTATGAAACCAGAGCGTTCACTGCAGCAAGTTAGAGCAAGCCAGACACTTCTTTGAAAGCAGGCTGCCGTTCAATTAGCCATTTAACAAAGCAGGAAATGTAGACCATGTTAGCAGTGGGTTTAATTTAAACTGATGTATTTTTCACCTACTGTGGAAACTCTAAACAACCTCACTATGCTGTGTACTGGTTAAAAGTTAGCTAACAGAGGCTGATCATTTAGAATAGTGACTAGGATCCTATAAGAGACATGAAGTTTCAGGACCAGTAGACAGTGTTGCTTGAGTCTAATGCCTAGAATTTAAATGAAATGCCATGAATATATTATGTATTATGGGTAACTCATGTAGATTACCATATTTATCTCTGTATGAGCAGGCACGGAGACCAGTTACCAGCATCGTTCAATGGAGAATTAAGTTGTGCTTTTTTATTGGGTATTGCATAGCCAGGCTGAGTTATTTGCATCTGGATGGGGCAACCTGAGGCAAGGGCCTAGGCTCAAATCCCACCTGCAGGGCTAGAATAGAGGATGGGGTAGAGATAACCACTCAAGATCTAGGTGTTGAGAAGCCCTTCTCCAGATAGGCCCAAACTATGGTACCAAAGGTAGGAAAGGCATCAGATGTAATAGATGAGGCAAGTGTGGATGTTTCAAATGTTCTGTAGCAAGCAGAATGTTTAACAGGGATGCCCAGAATGGCAGGTGACCTGTGTCAGAGAAGATTGTCAACACGTATGGCCTAGGACTTCAGGGGGTTGCCAAAAGGTTTCATTTCATGTGACTACGCAGGTCATTTGTGAATGGATTTGGGGGCTCTATGCTGGTGTTCAGAGGCTTCCTTTTGGCTTAGTAGGAAACAGTGGGGGTCGTGGCATGGAACATGGCACTTGAGCCATTGTTGACTACCGATTCCTAGAGTAATAGCACAGGCGGGGAAGGAAGAGGAGTAGCAAGAATAAGCCCAGCTGAGCTCTTTCACTTGCTCCTGACCAGCATTGAGGTGTCTCTTAGAGACCAACGAGAGCTGGGCCCTCCCTACAGTGAAGGGCTCAGGGGTGGTCCTGGTCTTCTCAGAGGCCACCGCTCTGGAGAGGGAAGATGCATGGAAGCTAAAAGCCAGACAGGGCTTGACAGATACCCATACATGAATTTATCAGATAGTTTTTGAGAATTTCTACTCCACAAAATGCAGAATCCGTGGTGGAGTCTGATTAATCTGACTGGTATAAACTGGTTAAACATCTTTGTCAGTCTCAGCCTAATTCCACCAAAGTAAAAATGTATCTGCAGCCATTTTCATAATATACCCTTAAAGCTGCTTGGTATGTCAAAGGACCCTGCATTCCTCTACTAAGAAATTGGTGCATCAGTTTCAAAGGAAGATTAATTCCGTCAGCTCTGCAAAAAAAATGACAAAGCCTTGAACATTGGCTAGATTATCCCAGTATTCATGAGGCCTCTTCAAAAAACAAATCCAAGTAATTTTTAAACCCAAGCTTGAGCCGTTTTCCCCTTTGTGTGATATCTTTTAACAATTCTGAAAAGTGTGTAGGCCCTTTGGAATTAGATGGATTGTTTCAGCGTCTCTCACTTGTGAAAACATTATACCGTCCACACCAGTAACAAAACACCCTCATCCTGAATACTTTTGTAATGGCTCTAGTACAGATGATTGGCAGGGCACCCTGGGTTGAAGAAACTATTTCTTGGGGCTGGCAAAAATGCAGCAGTTTCCTAGAGTCCTTCATCACTGCTGCAGCACGTGCCTGTACCAGAAGGCTTTGGAAGCCAAGTGCCAGCACCTCTCCAATGAATGGCCATAAATCAGTCTTTGCAATAAACTGCAAAGTACAAAAATCATGACTTGGTATTTTCTAAAAGCAGTAAATATTTTAAGTGATAGTATCATAAAAAGCATCATTTTAGAGTGTCAAGCATTGTCTAACTTTGCCATTAAGGACATGGAGAAACTGAGTCCCACAGATACTGAGAGGTTTACCCTGTGTCACGGGACCAGTGTGTGCTAGAACTGGTTCCACCCAGGAGCCGCCCCCTGGACTTCAGTCTGTCCTGTCTGCCAACCCTGGCTGCCTGGGTTTTCGGAACCTTCATAAGCAGTGGAGGAAGCTGCATTTTGGTGTCCAGTCAAAAACTCTTCTGATGTTGCAATCATACAATAAACTAAAAATATGTGAAAAGAGCTGCTCTGGGTCGCATATAGTAAAGAGCCGTAAGGCATTGTTTATAGCTTTCAGGATAAGGCTCCGAATCGCTCCACGAGACGTGCGATGGAAAGAACAGAGTGGGCTTCTGAGTTAGACAGATCTGGATTTGAATCCCAGCTCTTTGCTGTGTACTTGCCAAGTTCTTCATCAAGTGACTCAGCTTTTCCAAACTGTTTTCCAGACTGTGGAATGGGGATAATGCCTCTCTCCTGGGTTTTTATGGGGATTAAATGAGCTGATAAGTACCGAAACCCATGAACCCTGTCTGGCTACTATCTACTGTGTACTCTAGCTCTTGAGGCCTTGGCGGGAGCTGGCCTCATTCAGCAGGTCTGACTCCTTCAGTCCTGAATCCTATCAGGCCGTTCTCCCTGCTGACCCCGCATTCCCAGCCAGCAGAGCTGGGGCCTCTGGGGCCTGTAGGGGCTTCAGTGCATATCCGAAAGAGACACTCTGGGCAGTTGCCATCCCAGTGAGTGCTTTGCTTGGAAGGAGGAAGGTGCCTTTAAATGATACCCTTACTCTGCGTGTGGCTTGGTGAGTGGAGCAGCTGGATTTCAGTGCCACTCCCACGCCACCTTGCCTACGTGCCTTTTCACAGTGCACAAAATGCACAACTCTACATAGCAGCCTCAGACAGTGCCATACACTTCATCTGCACCCAGATGAAGGTCCTCCCCCTGTTTTATGTACAGGCTAAGTCAACCTGTTCAATACGTTTATGTCCTGAAGCCCCTTGTCCTCTTATACTTAACTGTTCTGTAATTTTTCCTATTAGTTTAATCTACTCAACTATATTTCTAAAGGGCAAGGACAAAGGCTTTTTCTCCTTTTGAACTCTTCCTAGCACAGAACTAGGTACAGCATAATCATCCAAAAAAACTTTTTTTATTCTTTCATAAACTTCCCACTTTCAAAGAATATTCATACATCAGCTCATTTTAATACATCCAGCAACCCTGTGAGGTAAGGCGGAAACTAAGATTTGGAAAGGCTCTAAACACACAGAATAAGCTCTCAGAACTTTGTTGATAGTTTGCTGTCCCCTTTGTTACAAAAGTCTTTAAAGCCAAACAGCAGGTTTTCTTGAATCGTTTATGTTTACCCTACTAATTTAGGTAGCTAAAGGAGATTTCCGTAGGGCAACCAAGGTAATAATAGGTCCATTTAACACAAGATGCCTTTGAATGAAACCCATTATAAGTGTATTTACATATTTCAGATTTCATGGATATATTCAGAAATATTAATGTAGCATAATTGAAGTCTAATATTGCACCCTCAAGCCCAGAGTGGAAAATAAATGACTCTTTCTCCCCCCTGCCCTTCTACACCTGTCAAAGTTAATTTTTAACCACTGGCACATTGCAAAACATTCATCCTGAAGAGCCTGATTCATAAATCTTGTTTTAAATGCTCTGGGCTTGGTTTTCAACCAAGACTAAAGCAAGCAGTAAGGTAGAGGGAAACGACTTTCAGAGTTTTACTTTTCTCTGATTTAATTTTTATTAGGTTTAAAATGTGATCTGACCATTAGAGGGTTATTTCAAAGGTGAGAAATGAAACTTTGAAAGCAAAATGGATGCATTTATAATAAATGAGTAGAAGTAAACAGGTGAGCCATGCTAGGTTTTATCAAAAACTAGCGAATTTTATTTGTGCTGTAAAAACAAGCTGTATTTCAGTGTGCATGCGTTGTAGAGGTATAGTCGGTTTTACTTTTGTTTTCGCAGTGCAGCCTTCTGTTTGTCTCTGGGGATGGGGTATGGGGTGTGTGTGGGGGAATCAGAGGGGAGGAGTTCTTTATTCTGCTAAGCAATGGGTGTGCCTTTTTAGAAACCTTGTAAAATATGTCCAGTTTTTTGCATAAATTAATCTGGGTTTATTTATAAATTTAAATGGACATTTTAGCACAGGATCGTTACGAGCACTGGAGGTGGAGTAAAGAATTTGAACCATCCTGAAAGACCTTTCTGTCCTAAGTTGTCTTAAGTTAAAATTATGAAGGGAGGTATTCATTCATTTTACCATTAAACGAAGATTTTGGTTCATTAATTTTTTTGCTCACTGCCCTTGTTAAAATGGTTTTTGTTCATAAATGATGGCTCACAAAAACATTTCCAGGTTGAAAGCTGCTTGTGGAACATTTGCTACTTGACAGTGATTTGTACATGAGAGACCGTATTCAGTCTATAACTTTCAAACATATTTTAATGATCAAGAGACATTTTCCTGACTAGATTACATCTGTTGAGAAGTGAAACAATGGCCTATATTTGCCTGTAAAATGAGGTTGACAAAATTTTGAGGAAAGAGACAATGAT